TTTCTGAATTAGACATCTGAAAAACTAAGATACAAATGACTCAAAAACAAGTAATTATATTATTAAACTATCACCTATTATTAATTTAAAATAATAAATTATGTTTTAATACATTAGCAACAAAAAACAATTAAACAGAAGATTGTGTTTGCAATAGTTTTGCAACACTCATGAGCAGTGCTAAGTTAGATAAGGAAGATGTCTGCAAAGTCTACAAGAGACCAGAAAAAGGAGCAGTGGAATGCCTGGCACCAACATGCTGCATTCACACACAGTGAGACACAAATTGCTGAGGAACAAACCTGATGAAACAAACTAAAACCACTTCAGAGAAAGTCATTAACTTTAACAAAGACTCAAACCGTAGTTATGTATATCTGGTTCACTGGACAGAAAAATTCAGTTCTTCCTGAATTAATCTGTGCAATAATTTTGGTCATAATTCAAAGGAGAAGAGCAGAGTGTGGTGGTTTATGCTTGTAATTCTGGCACTGGGAAAGCAGAGGTGGTAGGTTCTCAAATTTGAAGGCTGCTTAGACAACATAATGAAACCTTGTCTCAAACAAACAAACAAAGCAACATCAACAAAGAAAATAAGAGAAAGAGGGAAGGAGGAAAGAAAAAAATCTGAAAGGTCAATTTGGAAAAAGATCTGATAATTCTTTATCAAATTATTATTATGCACTAAGAAATAATGATCCAAGGATAGTTAGGGCAATTCTGAAAAAAATAAAGAAGGGGGATTTGCATAAAAATAACAGGACTTATAGAAAGCTGAATTAAATAAGACGACAATACAGGCGGTGTGAGAGGCATGTGTTATATAAAGGGCAGATGAACCAACACATGAATGTGGACTGGTCACTAAGAGGTCAGGTCAGATCAGGAGAGAGGAGACTATACAACAAAGTTTGGAACAGGGTAATCTGTATGAATAATATTTGGGCCTGGATTTCTGTCATTTATATCTGCTACACCTCTAAGCCTAATCCTGACCCTTCCAGCCTCCTCTTGTTAGTATACTTGTTCTGTCAATGTAGAACATTCAACACTGCCACAGAGGACAGGAAAAGCAATCAGAATGAATAGAACCCATCAGATACATTAACTGTAGATCATAGCAATTTGTAAGGCACTGGCAGAATTCAGAACATGTACTAGAAATAGGAAGTCAGTAACCTGAATGAATGATATGTGAAACTAGAATAATTAAAATATATTATAAAATAATCCAACAAAGTAGAGTGTGGCTCAGAGATAGAAGGAAACAGGAAAGCAAATCCTAACCAATGTATTGATCATGTCATCTCTGGGCCAACAGTATGCTATGTCTAAATTGCTTACTTATTAGTGCCACTATTCTGTCCCTGAAATTCTGACAAAAGAGATGACTGCCTAAAAGACTGATAAGCTATGTAAGTGAGCCTCAGGCCAGGTCTCTTCCAGTAAAACAACAGTACGTGGGTTCCAGGTGCCTTCTGTATGCTGATTGCCTTATTATACAGTCTCACTATTTGTCCTTATAATTACAGCCTCCTTTGTTGGAAACACAAGATCTAGATGGTACATGTGTTTACACATCATCCCAAGTGGATTAACCTTCCCCAACTCGTGCCTCTTGGTTCTGGCATTTTATGCCCTAAATAACCTTTGTGATTGCCTCATAGTAATGTGGTCTGAGTGTTTCTAGTCTATTTTCTTTGGAATAGACTGCCTGTCATTGAGACAGCCACAATGTCAAGATAGTTTCCCACAAGATACTGGGATGGAGAATCAGCAGGCCAGGTGTTCTAGGCTTCACTATCAGTAGATGTCTAGTCTGATTATGTCTAAAGGAGGCCCCCGAGAGCAAAGAGAAAAAGAGGGACTCACTTTTAGACTATAAATTTTCATTGCTTCTTTCCAGTAACTGATACCACCACCATTGAGGATCTTTCTTTGCATACTGGGACAGTCCCTTTCAAATGCTTTCAAAAGAAAATTTGCAACATGGGGGCTGAGGGGAGCTTTGATACCAAAGTATGAAACTAAAAATAGAAAAGAACAAATGATTCATTAATAATGTCTATAGAAGTTCGAGACCAGCCTGGTCTACACGAGCTAGTTCCAGGACAGGCTTCAAAACCACAGAGAAACCCTGTCTCGAAAAACAAAAACAAAAACAAACAAACAAAAAGTCTATAGAAGGTAACTTAACATGTAAGCTGCAATTCAAGTCTTTAATAATTTTATTCAAATGTGTTAAGGCTTGGATTATAAAGACAAAATAATAAATATATTGTAAACCCAGATTTATTAAAATCACCAGCTTCTATGGCTCAAATGTTTCCTCTAAATTTCATTTCCTAATCTGAAAATTTAGATGTTAATGGTTTTGGGGGAATCTGTCTGGCTGGGTAAATGAATTTATTTGAGAATTAATGGGCTATCCAAGGGAGTATTCTGGATCCAAATTCAGCGAGTTTTCACTCACTTGTTCTGTCTCACCATGTCATGGCCTCTGCCATGCTATGATGCAATAAAAAGGTTCTCAATAGACATCTAGTGGATACAGGTACAATGCTCTTAAACTACTAACACTCTAGAGTCATGAAGCAAAATAATTTTTTGTTGTTTTTAAGTTTTCTCTTTATTTATGAGGGGGAAGTCCTCTGAAACAGTGTCTGATGTATCTCAGTCTGCACTCAAACTTGCTAATATAGCTGAAAATGATTTTATTTGCTCATCTTCCTACCTCCAGCATTCTCTATCTATTTATAAAGTATCCAGCCTCAGGTATTTTATTAAAGAAACAGAACTAAGATACTGTCTTTCACATCAAAGGCATATATTTAACAGTCTGTTTTAACTTGGAATGAAGTGTGTTTTGGGAAGGATGGGAAAAGTACAGATCATTCAATGATAAGTGTGACCATGACTTTCACAAAGGACCCCACTATGCTGCTCTTGATGCATCCCCTTTGGATCCTCTGCTTTGAGTGGTATAGCCATAATAGCTAGGCTAGTGTCGTCTTCTGGCATGAGTTATGAGGTGGAGTGTGAAAGTAGGGATCTTGAGGGACAGTCTAGGAAGACTAGAAGAGATGTAGTTGCTCAATTCTACCTGGTTTGTGGGTCACCAGAAGGCTGAGGCAGCAAGTGGACTTGAACATGTGCTGGGAGAAGCTGATCTGTGAGAATGTGTCTCACTGACTGCATGCTGGGCGCCAGTTCTCCATCCTGCTTTATAGTCAGCTTTGGTTTCTCCAACGAATGGATTTCCAGGCTCCTAGATATCTACATTCACTTTCCTTCCCTGATGCTCAACACTGCTTTGTCCTTACACTCTGTACCTAGCATGTCTTCTTTTTCTTTCAGGACCTCTTGAACTTTAGCATGCATAAGAATGACAGACAGAACATGTAACAAGTTCAGGTTCTTAGCACTCAGCCTTGATTCTGATTCTATATGGATTTTATATTCAGAAATTTTGCATGGAATCAACATCTGTCTCACGCCCCACTCCCACTCTGTTCCCAAAGGGAATCGCGAAGTTCAAGTAGAGAAGACAGGTTCTCTATAGTCCCATTTCCCATGGTCCAGAAGACAAAGGACATTTAAAGTAACCAGATGAGAGTCTGGAACAATGATATGAACCTACAATCCCAGCATTCAGAAAGCTGAGAAAAGATTCTCTTGAGTCCAAGGCCAACTTGGGCTACAGAGTAAAATCCTGTCTCAGAATACCTCAATTAATTAAATTAAGTAACCAGAGAAAACATCTGGAAGTAAAGGTAGACAGACTCAAATGAGCAAATTCATTTTCATACTACTATATTCTGATCATAATTTTACGGTAGGTACCAGAAGCAAATTCACTTTTAAAGTTGAGGAATTAGTAGAGAATGTATGGTGATTTCTTGTTAGTTCATATCCCATGCACCAATGTCTGATTTTAAAAGCACTTTTGAAGGTTCTTCATCACACTGTGTCAGATCTAAAGCATCAACTGCACTTTAACATAAACTCATCTCAATCAGCCTCTACCTTTGTTTAATAAAAACTTTTGCTCCCTGTTTTAATGGTATATTAAACAACAGGGTAGAAGTATGAATTTGAGGATTGATGGTCTTCTTCTCCTCAATCCCAAGGTGTATGGACAACAAAAACAAATCTACTTTCCTCTGGGAGGTAGATCTTCAGAGGAATAAATACAAAAGCACTCCAGGGTGCTTCTCTGATCTTCTTTTCTCCCTTTAGGCTGTGACCAGACAGTATGGAAAATATGGAGCTGAGCCATTTGTTATCGTAGACCCTTCTGTGCCTTATCTTAACTTTTACCTGGTCCTGTCATCTGCCTGGTCTTCCTGCCTTGTTCTTCCTGATCTGTGACTAGTCTGTCTGCTCAGTTAGAACCACTGCTGAGTAACAGGGAGCCTAAAGAGTGCTAGGTGTGTTAGTCATGGGGGTAAGGGTGGAGGGGATGGGAATCCGAGGGATCCGGGAGATTTACATCCAGGGTGGAAGAGGAGACTTTAGAAATCATCCAAGGTGCTAGGAGAAAATGTGGATGACCACAGGAAAATTAATACAAATTATGTATATTTTACTGAAAAAAAAAATAAGTGTAAAAGAGAGGTAGGAGTGACAGCAGAAGAGTTGGATGGGTCAGGGGGCTGTTACTGTCCCGTTCACTTTTAGCATGGAGCACAGATTCTACTGTGGCTATCACTAAAGGCGCCTTCAGATTTCTGTTACTTCCTGATTAGCTGGAAAAACTCAGGGTCACAGTGGCCTCCTGCCACACTTAAAACTTGAAAATAAAGAAAACAGAAAGGAGAAACTTGACCCTGCCCAGATGCAGCCAAAGTGACACAGGGTTAAAAATGAAGTAAAGAAGTTCGAAGACCTACTCTCCCGATCTGCCCACTTAGCGGCTGGCCTGGCAACCTTCCAAGTCAGCTGTCTGCAGCCCCAACCTCATTGCTCAGGTCCTGGGCCTCTGAGTTGACCGGGAACTCACGTTGGCAGCAGCCAAGGAGAGGGGCCGGCTCCGCCAAGACACAACAGGGAGGGGATAAGCCAGCATCCCCCACCCCCTCTGGACACGGAGCAGGGGAGGAGAGCAAGTATCCCCCACCCCTGCGCAGGGCGGAGGAGAGCGCGTCCCGCGCCCGGCGCCTCCTGCACCGAGGCATCTCCAGAGCGGTGCACGAGAATGCAGGTCCACAGGGACGCACACGCGGGGCTCCTGCTGCCGTGGGGCTGGGTGACTATCTGCCTGATGAGTCTGCTGCGTGAGTATTAACCTCTGAAGGGCCAGGCTACGGGTGGGGAGGAGGGAAGGCCCCCAGCTGTTGACCTCACCTGAGAATCCTTCGCTGGAGCTAGGTGTGAGCTTACTCTGATAGTGCTGGGAGATGCCAGTTCCTCATTGAGTGGCTGAAGGTGTAAAGCTCAAAGTTGGAGCTAGAACGCAGATGCAAGAATGGAAAAGTTCTATAACTGTCCTTGATTCAGAAGGCAAGGGTCCAGAGTGGGGCCCAGAGAAGGATCCAGGCACCCTTTGTTCCCAGGACAAGGACGGAAAGAATTTGTGAGGGTAGCCAGTCCCAATGAGGGCCAGGAGACCCTCAAGGAGAACTAAGGGACTTTAGCGGAGGAGTTTAGAACAAAGAGCAAGCAGAGAAAAAGGGCAATTTTTAAAATTTAAAATTAGAAAGCTAAACTAGAGTCGCCTCTGCAGACACTACACAGATGCTAGTGGGGAGGTGGTTTGGTGTGCACACCAAGTCCTTCTGCTCACCAGTCTTCACCCTGCACAAACCCACTCTCATTACTCGCTGGAATTTTCTTGCCCTGCCTTCCTTCAGATTCTAAAGCTAGTAGGCAGGCCAAGACACCTCCTGTTGCCCACACACACTCTTACTTATTAAGCTCTTCCTCTCTTTAGTTGGAAAAAAAGTATTCACTCAGTCTGTAGCAAATTGTATTGCATTGGAGGGTGCTGTTCTTCATCTCATCTCATGTTCTTAGAAGTTTTCAACTTTGGGGTTTATTCATTTTGCTTCTAGCCCTTTATGGCTCCTAAATCTCCATTGTACATCTTAAAGGCCACTTACCATGGGTCTGCCCACAAGGCCTCTTTGTTCCCAATCTTCTGTGCTATTGTCTTTGGGCCCACCCCAAAAAGAGCTGACTGAGGAGTTGAATTAGGTTCTGGGCTCACCTGATTGGCAGCTCAGTACATCCCCTTTTAGATGGGGTAAAACTTGTTGAAGACTGAAATGCCCCAAATGAAGCAATATGGCACCTTCATCGCACAGGCGGGTGACCATGGGCTGGAGTTCTCATCAGTTCAGCAGTGACCCAGGCCAGGGTGGAGTGCTGCCTTTTCGTATTTCCTCAGATGGCCAGTGTCAACCATGTCTTGAGCTGAAGGGGGGGGGGGGGGGTGAAGAGCATAAAAACCTCTGAAATCTTGGGCAAGTACACTGAGGACTCAGCTTTGGGGGTAAAGGGCAGGGCAGGGGCTGCCATTCCGAACCCAACCAGACTTCATGGGCCAGCCAAAGTTTTGTACTTTTTCCAAGAACTTCCTAGGGTTTGTATTGAGATTCTTTTGTCTGTTAATACTGTTATTTTCTGTCCTGGGATACATTGTGGAATAAATTAAAACAGTGACTGTATGTAATTTAAAATGCCCACAGTAGACAACAGCAAAAATTCAGTGCTGTTATTAGTGGAAAATTTGGTGTAGAGTGGGAACTGATTCTGAAGAGATAGGTCTCTTGTATCCCTGGGAGAGGCTAGTATAAACACCCACTAGTCAACCCCAAAGTGCCACTTTTTTCGGGGCAGGAGAGATCAGCGAGCAGAGTCTGGGTTGTGGCTGGGGACTACCAGGCAACACTTTCATGCTCCAGCTGAATCAAACCAAGCTAACCAAGGACCCTTTTTACCAGGGTCTCCTTTCTCAAGGCCTGTCTTACCCCCTTTCCTCTACACTACCTTCAACTCTTATCCACATTCCTTTCCTTCCTTTGGATCCTTTGAGTCTGCTGATCCCACATCTGTATCCTGTCTGGGGCTACATGTAAAGGGGGGAAAATGGAAGGGAAAAGACTTTTATCAGTTTTTTTTTTTCTAGAAGGGAAAGGCCTCCACCCTTTACTCCCTGCTCCATGGTAAGGAGGAGTAAGAGTTTAGGGATTGCCGAGTAATTCAGTGATCTGAGTGCTCCCCCTTGGAGGGCCAAACCAGGCTTCACAACCTTTGCAAATACACTTCTTCATCTTGGGCATTCCAGTCTGGCTGATAAGCAGGCAAGGGCCTAGATCTCTTTTCTTATCCCCTTGGCCCCACCCCTTGGGCCGTTCATGGGCCTTTCCTGAGTGGTCTTTGTCTACAAAAACCCAAGGCAAGAAGTGCCAAATTGTAGCAGATAAAGTTGGCCACAGAGTCCTAGAAAAACAAGCAGAAAAGACGAGCAGACTCCACTGCTTATGACCTTGCCTGGTATTTTTGACTTTGTGCTTAAGGACCTGGGCTGACTCTCAGGCTTCCCCAGTTCCAGTCTCTATTTCTTGAACTTCCTTCTATCCTTGACTTTGGTTCATCTCACTAAATGGCCTGTAATGTGACAAAGTAAAAAATGTGGAGGCATGGAAAAAACACAAATTCATCTCTAAAAGAAATGTTCACAGTGGCCAGGGTACAATTTACATATTTTGAGGGGTGGTTTACATTTTCTTCTTATGGTGGCTAAGAAATAAAGTATAGTATCTTTAAAATTGCTCTCAAGGATCCTGGCTGTGCTATAGGAGAATGGTACATGCATCTTGGGGTGGAATGGGGGTAGGGATCCAAACAAACTGGGAGGCCTGGCAAGGTATACTTCCCTGGACCTTCACATGGGAAAGGCAAAGAATGAATCATTTCCCTAATGATGCAAAGGAAAAGGCCTCCTGGCTTAACTTCCTGGAGTGGAAAATAAAAGTGAACCTCTTAGAGAAGTGGTAACCCTAGGTAGTTGGCTCCATTGCTTAAGAAAATGTGTAAATTAGTCTTTGGGTAAGAAATCTTAGAACCCTAGACAAGCTCTGAAAGTCCAAAGGCAGGCAGGAGGCAGGGCAGCTAAGTGGAAAGTGCAGTCTTGCAATGGGATGGGTTAATAGACAAAAGGCAAAGGACTCCAGATCCCAAGGTGAACAGAGAAGGGTGAGGCTTCTGCAGAGTTGGAGGACTTAAGGGGTTTTCTTATAGCATAGCTTCATTAGCACAGCATTGACTAACATTTCAAGGTTGTGCCACCGTCTCTTCTGACTTCTTTGATATTTATTCCACGCTTTCAAATCTCTGGCAAAAACTGCCCAAGTATAGCAGGTTTGCCTGAGAAAGACTCAGAGAAACGGAAGAGACTTTGCTGGCTGACCTGCAGAAGTGACAGTAGTGATCAGAGCAAGGCTCTGGCGTCCAGGAATGAGTGGTACCAGAAAAGTGAAAGAAAGGCAAGTGGGAGAAATGTAGGCTTCCTGGGGATCCAGAGAAGTGGAGGGATGAAGATATTTTTTGATTTTAATGGGGAAATCTCAATGTAATGAGGATGCTCAGGCCAGTTTATGTTGACACCTCTGCCTTGCCTCTGAAGCTAAGGAAAGCTTCTGCCATACCCTTTGTTCTAACCCAACAATGGCTCAAACTGATGATCTATGACAGGTGTGAAGGGACCCTAATAAGATTTCTCTGAATGTTCACTTACTTACTAATGAGCTCATCCCATTAAAGATAATAATATTGGCATTAAGTTCGTCTCCTGTATCACTATTAAATTGGTCTTTCATGGACTTACAATCATTGTCCTATTTTCTATTCTTTGGATTGTCTTTGGATGTTTGTCCAGTCTTCATGAAAAATCCCTCAAGACCTGTCTAGTCAGCCCCACTCCTAGAGAGCTGTGATGCTGATGCCTAAGGGTATAAAAAAAATCAAATTATACCTTATTTTGTGTTTTCTTCATTACTTAGCAAGATCCTGTGCATGTCTTTGGTGCTTAAGGGAAAAATACATATAGTATGAAAGTGAAATTAGTCTACAAGAGGGTTATTTGCAAAATTTTCCTATGAAGGGCAAAACAGAAAGCATCTCAGGCTTGGGATCTGGATGTGGCTTCTGATGCATTTGACACTTTGTCTTTATGACACTTGAAAATGTAGATGGCATGCATCACCGACTGACCACACACTATCAACCCCCAATGCAGAATTTGTCCTAGGAGCCGTAGTTTGCCAAATCCTGATCTGGATGAAATAGAATCAGGTCTTTAGCAATGTGGCTTGGATTGTAGATTTTTCCTCGTTATATGGAGAAACTGGATATTTTTAACACAGTCACTCCCCAATTTAATAAATTTCCCCTTTATACAGAGCATAAGAGCCAGCAAGATGGCTCAGCGGGTAAAAGTGCCATGCAAGTTTGAAAACTGGAGTTTGATCCCCAGATCCCAGATAGTAGGAGAGAGAAGACTGCAAGCTGTCCTCTGACCTCTGTATATGTTGGGTGCTTCCTTGTCTGCCCTCACATCTCCCTCTCTCTCCCTCCCTCCCACATGCACAATAATAATAATAATAATAATTATAAATAATAATAAACTATAGAGCATCAGAATAAGGCTAAAAAGCTGTAGGCAGTGAGTGTGAGCTGTACAGCTGAACTCGTTGCTTATCCTAACACCCCAGGATCTGCCAAGCACCCTGAATAAAACACACACATGTAAAAAAAGGTCTTGACATTCAAGAAATTTATAACTTAATGAGGTGACAGTTAAACCTCTCCTGAGGAAGCAACTTGTGTGACTTTGTGCCAGATGAGTGACAGAGATAAGAACTGATTTGGAAAAGCAGAAGGAAGGACCTTTTCACGATGGTAGTCATGGACCAGACAGCCTGACTGCTTTACATTTCCTCTCCTTCTTTGTTTCTCAGAACAACTACGAGGCAGGACCTACTTTGATCTCGTTTTACTGGAGAAGTTTGAAAGTTGCAGTGGCCATGGGGCCACACAGCTAGAACACAGGAGAGAAGCACCTACAGCATTATTTTCAAGGCTTGGCCTCTTTGTCTTTGCATAGTTCTGCCTTCAAATCAGAGGTCCAGTGACTCACTTCGCAGCGATGTGACTTCTTCAGATATATACAGAAAGGCTGGACAGCTAGGGGCTGGCTGAGGATGTGATCACAAAACAGCATTAGAAAACAATAAAACTAGCCTGGTGTGGTGCTATACACCAAGAACCTCGACACTAAGGAGAGAGCCATAGGCAGGGAGAACAGGAGTTCAACACCATCCTTAGCTAAAGTGAGTTACATAAAGTGTCATCTACTGGGCTATATGACACCCTATCTAAAACAAACAAACACACACACAAACAAAAACATTCCCCAAACTCTAAAACTAAGGATATCTGAAAAAAAAATAGACCAAGAACACACAGAAAATTGGTTATTTTGGTAATAACTTATTATCTTAGAATATGTAACTTTTTTACAAAAACTGAATTTCCAGTTTACTAATGTTAAGTAGAATTTTTTTCCCAAAATATATTATACATGTCTCTGTTTCTTCAGAATACCCGCTACCCTAAGACTTTAACTTTGGTGACTCAAATGGATCATGGAAATAAGGTGTTTTTGTTGCTGTCAGTGGCATGATTAATATATATCAAGGTGTTTATTTCTGTTTAATGTGACTGTAAGTGACTCAAGACCAGCATGGGTTTGGTACTTGGGTTTATTTTTAATTTAGAAATTTCAGTTTCCTAGTTTTCAACTGTCGCCTCTCCCTATTTGTTTCTAATCTCTAACTTTGACTGGAATATCAAGATAACTAGGCTTATTAATACTGTTTGTGAAAATAATTGCTTCTAAGTAAGTACCCGCAAGGTCAGTGTATAAATTTTACTACACAAATCCTTTCTGTTACATCTGTTGGGGTCTTAAGATTCTCATTTAATAGCTTCCCAGTAGCTTCTCTCCTGTCTTGCTCTAAGTTTATTAAATAGATTGATAGAAAGAAGCTGGAAAGATGACTTAGTGGTTAAGAGCACTTGCTGTTACTGCAGAGGATAAATGTTTGGTCCCTGGCACTCACTTGCTAGCCTACAACCATCTGTAACTCAAGTTCCAGGGCATCCCATCTTTTTTTGTTTGTTTGTTTTGTTTTGTTCCCTTGGGCATACATGTGGCAGACATACATACATATCTACCAGAATAAACTAGAAACTAGTCAGGTAGAGCCTTTGAGGTGGTACAGAACAGACTAGGAACTAAATTCAGGAGCAGTGTTTTACTTAGTTCTGAGTTATACTATCTTTCCTCACGTCTGTGTGGGATGAAAGAAAGATTTCCTTAGTTTTGCAACATCTGAAAGGCTTCACGGAGTGTAGACTGCTCTATTCCTTCCTAGAATGGGAATCAAAAGTTCAGAGAAAGAAGGCCAGCAGTTGATGTTTTAAACTAGTGGACAGATGTAGAAAGAGAGAACGAAGAGGCACATTGCCAGTCTTAGTACAGCCTTCCTTCATGACCCACTAGTTCTGTAAAAGAGCCTTGGAGGCTGAGGCCCAGGGATGCACTCACAGAAGGATCTGTGCTATAGTGTGTAAGTCGTGATATATCCTGACCTATGGCCATGGTATCCCCTCACTTATGCTAGTTCTTACATAGCCTTCACTTAGCCTTGCCTTCTGCTCCCTTCCTTGTCCTATCTTATAGCCTCACATGCTTTGCTACTTACCCTAAGTTTGGAGCTATACATCTGAGGCTGGGTCCTCTTTTGATTTTCAATCTGGCCAAAGAGTGGGAAGAAGAGAGGGGGATAAGACTGCTACAATTGGGAGTCCATCCCCAGTGGGTCCATAGCTGGCTTGGATCTGGAGTTGATTCACTGTTCTGGACCAGGCACCTCTGTCTTTAGAACAACAGCAGGTCTCTCTCCACATCTGGAAAAGTTCAAAAATGTTTGTCTGGGTGAAGGAGGCCCCTTGGGGGGAGGGGTTCAAAAGCATGACATCATCTCAGGCAGGCCCAGCTTCCTTTGGAGAAAGAGAAGGGTTGGGCCAACCTAGACCAGATGGGATTCCCAGGAATTGACGTGTTTGAGTAAAGCAAGGAGGGTGTGGGCAGAAGGAAGGGTTCCAAAGGGGAATTCAAAGGATATCTTAGAATAGCCCATTGAGAGTATGATTCCTTTAATTCGGTGTCTGAATGCTACCACTACTTGCCCTTGTAACAAATTTGTATCTTAGGGTCAGATTGGTGGGGTACTATCTTAAGGAAGTAGTTTAGGTTGGCGTCTGTTTCGAAACTACATCGAAACACACACGTCTTGTTGTCTACAAAGCCTTTGAGGCTGTATCCAGATCTTTAACAACTACCAGAGTCAGCAAGATCCATGTCCTTTGCTGCTTGACCACATGATCTGTGTTCTTCCCCGATCAACAACTTGGTGACATAGGTTTTTCCTTTCTGGAATGAATATAGTAATATCACTTCTTTCCCTACTTACCTGGCACATAATAAGATATGATTTCTGTGGTCAATGTTAATACAGTCTGCTTGTTACAGGTTGGGAAGAAGGTAGAGGTGAAAGTTGAGACCCTGACTAGCACCTTACAGAAAACATTGTTGGCCTTGGGTTGACTAGAAACTGAAAGTCTGACTTCCCTCTTGATGCTGATGGCAATAGCAATCAGTCTACATTGTTATTGGCCTTGAAACAGAAAAAAAAAAATACAGAGCTAGATTTCAATTAGGAAAATTTAGAGTTGCACTTCAGGGTGTCCTGGAGCCCTTAGGACCTTTCCTTGCAGGTGGTATTACAGTTGTGAACTTGAGACCTGAGTCTATCCCTTGCCAATGCACAAAGAGGCCCACATCCTGTATGCCAACTTATAAACTAAACAGCTTCATCCCCCTTACCTTAACCAGACACCTTTTCGGTCACTAAGAAAGCTAACTTTGAATTTGGAACTTTAACTCTTTTGGAATTCAGTCTCTATGTGGTTGATCAGGACAAGATAAGCCCTGGCCCCAGCTTACTTCTTTTCTTCCTATCCACAACTTTGGCCCCAGACCACTTCCCTTACTTTTTTCTTCCTTCATATGACTCAGAACTATGATGTGAAGGATCTTTCATGTACATATAGGATATTAGTATACCTATATGCTAACCCTTCTCCCTTCAAATAGTCATTCCTGGACCTTGGAAGTACACAGTGTGATGCTGCAGTTCACCTTTGGAGGGATGAGCCATCATAGGGTAATACTGGTCTGGATGTAAGCAAAGAGCCATTTGAGTAAGCTCTATAAAAAGTGTAGTCTCCAAAGTGTCATCTAGAAGGGAGGACCACCTGATTGGCTCATGTAGGAGGTAGAACAGGCTTTGGGACCCATAATATACAAGGTCAAGGTTCTCCTTCCCGAGTCTAAGGATATATAGAATAATGGGGCAAGGACACTCAAGAGTATTTAGAAAATGTATAGATAAAGAATCATTCTACCCTAGTAGTTTGATTTTCCTCATTCAAAAATAGACAAATCACCTATATTTAGGGATTATTAAACTTAGGTACACATGCATGAAAATATATGGTCCTGGCAAAGCCAAAGCTTTCTGTCTTCCTTCCCATCAAGAAGGGTTCCATTTGAACCTCCTGAGAGAAGTCTCCAGGTTCCTCCCTGCAGTTGAGTTCTTCATCTAAAAGAAACAATGGATTTGAAGGTCCTGAACTTTGAAAAAGCAAGACTGAGAATGAAAAATTATTTAAGGGGATTTGCATAGAGAAAGTATGGATCTACAATAATTAGTATATTGGATAGAGGTTGACCAAAAAAGAGAAGTGAGTAACCAAATTGAACTAGGAACATAGCATCTCTCATATTTTCAATCCTTGTAATGTTTACATAGGTGAAATTTTGTATCTTGGTATTTTGCTAAATACATTACAAACATTACCTTCTGTGTTGTTACCATTTTAATTACTTGTGAAATTCCTGTTTTATAATTGTTTAGTATATTTCCTTAGGGAAAACATAGAATAGAAAACTAATCTGGTGTCCATGAATATATTATTAATGTTTCTTTATTGTCAAGAGTTGTATGAATATTCCAGGTAGATTCATCTAAAGTCAAGAAGTTGAATCAGGTGTTGTCATGAGGTTCCAAGGTCGGATTCTGATTTTTCCTTATTTCCTTGTAACATCTGGGCGCACAGATATAAACAACTTGACCTCTGTTGCCATGGAAACTACTGTCCCAGGAATATCTTCATCAGTTCCTACAAATGAGTCCAATGAGGAAACTACCACACTTAGCATCTCTGGAAATACCAGCTCCTACTTCCTCTCTCAGGAAGGCAATGAGACCACACCAGCCACCTCAGGTAACCAGAAGTACTCAGCTAGTATAGCCTATTCCCCTACCACAGATAGGGTCACAGAAAACAATGCTTTATGTAAGGGCATTTTTATATAAGTTCTGAATGGCTTTCTATGCTGGTAACATTTGTAGGCCATACATGACAAGTGGGTCCTGAACAGGACTGATTCTTATATTTATGCTAAGTTCGGCTGGTAAAAGAAAGGATCCAACTGGATTCCACTGATGAGTGTCTTTGTTCTCATCTAAGTGATGGAAGATAGTGTGGGTTCAAACTGTAGGTCTTTCACCTCTGTAGGATAGAATCATTTTCTCTTTCAGAATTGGAGGGCACATTTGATACATTCTAGATCATGTATATCCAATTTAATACCTGAGGGCCTCATGCATCTCAGGTTAGCTATGAATGAAGCCCAACATATTAGTAGATTACAACATGTTACAATGTTAAAAGGTTGGAAACCCTTGCTTTATATTTTAGCTATGGTTCCAAGAGCTGACTTGAAATAAATTGGGTCATGATTAAGATATGAAGTAACTGTGACCTCACCAAATTCTTATTTCTGTGCAGAAATCTGTGCTAGCACCACAAAGTGAGACTGTGTTTTCTAAGTGTATTGTGCAGATGCATACGCACACTTGTGTTTGGTGTATTCCAGAGACAACGGTCAACTTTACTGCTACTTCTGGGATTCCTTCAGGCTCTGGAACCACACCAGCTTTTGTGCAATCACAGACGTCCCCAACCATCACACTGCCCACCACTTCAGACAATGCTTCCACTTCAGAGATGACCTTGAAGTCCAGCGTGCCATCTGTAAACGTTTCTGATTACTCACCTACTAATATCAGTTCTGAGATGATATCAACCACTGAATCATATGCATACACATCATCTTCTACTGTCCCAATTACTATCAAGGTGGGTGAATTGGGCCCCAAATGGCAGATTATGCTCAGTACCTAACCCTCTGCTCATACCAGCCAATGAGATTTGGATCATCTTGGAATCAACATGGAATATGTACTTTATGTATTGTCAGAAAGGCTAGACAGGAGAAGATAGGGAGGAGAGGGTTCAGTCCAGTGAGAAGTCTGACCTGTGCTTTGGGTTTTGTATTTTGGGGAGATTCTGAGAGATCCTTCTTGTTCTCTGGTTCTTCAGAAGGACCATTTTTTTTGGGGGGGGGAGGGATATTTGTATCTGTCTCCTGTATACTGGGGCTGCCTTTCTTAAATGTGTAGAGCAAAGTGTTTCTGATATATGGAGGGCTTAGTGAAGCACAGAATGTCAGTGAGGAGGTCATCTGAAGAGGTAAGAACTGGATGCATAGGAATGGTGAGTTCCTCTGGACTTCTTGGTCTTGAGCCTGTGGCAGTCCACAGCTTTCAGCCTGAAGGGCAGGAAGTATGAAGGCCTAAGGACAGGCATGAGGGGCCTAGTTGTTTGTTTTTAAAGAGGTAGCAGATGAATGGAGAAACTCCTAGGGACCAAGAGGAAATCAGGTGTCACCAGCAGCTGCCTGACTACCCCATTATATGTGTGTAACTGACTGAAGAAATAATAATAATATTAAGTTTCTCTTTTTCTTTTTAAGCATCATCCAAGCCAGGTTTCCCATGATTTCAAATAGCATCTTTCTTATGGTCCAGGATAGTAACAAAAAGCTTTATTCTCTCCTTGGGGAAGTTTATGAGCTGGGAGCAAACATACTGAGTGCCTTTAATCTGAAAATTTTGGATTCAGGTTTTTCATTTTGGAATATTTAATTTGATTTTAGAATATATAATGAGAGAACTTGAGGATAAGACCCAAGTCAAAACATAGGACTCATTTGGGCTTCATATATACCATATGCACATATTTAAAGGTCATTTTACATCACACTTTTCAATAATTTTATGCACTCAAAAGTTTGTAGTGTGTATTTACCACTTGCAGCATCACTTGGGGATCAGAAAGTTTTAGAATTTCAAACATATTATATTCTGAATTTTTGGATTAAGGGTGCTCATTTTTTTTTTAAACTGCAAATCTCACTGGGCATGTCTGAAATCACAGCAATCAAAAGGCTGACAAGTATGAAGTGAAATCAGCCCAGGTTATGTAGCTACATAGTGAATTCTAGTCCAGCCTGACTATAGAGTAAGACTTTGTCTCAAAAAAAAAAAAAGTACTTAAATAAATAATGTCAATCCCTAGGCCTCTGAGAACTTTTAAATTTACCTTTTCCTAAACTTTTTAAGAGAGTACCTTGCCATAAAAGACGTGGAGGAAGAAATGAGGAGCTAGGGTACTTGCATATTTACTTTGTATTTTTGTTTTTTGTTTTTTTCTTAAACATAGGGAGAAATCAAATGTTCAGGAATCCGAGAAGTGAGATTGGCCCAGGGCATCTGCCTGGAACTAAGTGAAGCATCTAGCTGTGTAAGTCTACCCCATCCCCCCATACCCACCCCAACCCCTCTGAATACCTGAAGCAGTCTTGGACTGGCCTCACTTGAGTAAGTAGTCTGGGAGCTTAGCAGGGTCAGACTGTTTCTAATATTGAGCCTTGGATTTGGACAATAAGAGTCCCCATCTTGTGAACATAAAGGGCAAAACCAATTTTAAATAATTTTTTTTTTTTTTTTTGTTTTTCGAGACAGGGTTTCTCTGTAGCTTTGGTGCCAATCCCACAACTAGCTCTTGTAGACCAGGCTGGCCTCGAACTCCCAGAGAATTATTTTTGTTGTTATTTGAGGTCATCAGACTTAAGCTTGTTTTCATGTTAAGAGCCCTTGTCAATGCCCAGATATTAACCAGCCAACTAAAATTTAAATAATCTTATTACTTACATGTAACTCTTTAATGCATACTGAATTTATATGGTCTGGTCATATACTTCAGAGATATTTTCTTTCTTCAAGTTGACTATACTTTTGTCTGTTTTAAATTTGCTTCTACATTACAATGTTTTTAATATCCAGCAAGCCAGATCTTTCTTATTTATACCACAAAAGTGAATTTTTAAACTCTTTTTTTTTTTTTTTTAGAAAATCTTTGGTGATATCTGACAAGATCCCTGCCCCCCAAAATTTACAAGAATTTGAATAGGAACTTGCTAACATCCTTCAGTTTTTCCAAGTCGTATTTTGTATTGGTCATCATCACCTGTTTTTTTTTAATTTAAAATATTTAAATATTGGTCCCCACTTCCCAGCATACATTTTTTTTTCTTTTGGAAGGGGATAGACCCCAAGGTTGTGTAATGCTAGGCAAGTATTTCATTGTTGAGGTATATCCCCAAGATTTTCACTATAAGTTTTATGGATTTTATCAAGGATATGCTAATATATATTCTAACTTACTATTGCTTAAATATTAAAAAATTATTGGAGCCTGAATATTTATCTTCAGTTTATGTCTTTCTTGAACCTGCTAATTAATTCTAGGAGATTCTGTTTTTTTTTTTTTCATTTTTAAAGTGAACTACAAATTATTTGCTATAATGTGTTATTTTTCTCATACTTTTTAGTGGTAGTGATTCTTATTTCTGTTTCTTGTCAGGCCACATTGGTTAGAGTGTATGCGGCATGGTGTGAATTTTTGTGTGTTACAGTAAATCCCTTGTTACTGGCAGTAACAAGGCCCTGGAGTAAGGATGCAGGTGAAGGGGAAAGTGCTGTTTTCTTTTACAGTAAAATGTTTTCTTATGGGAATGCAGTGAAGGGAACCTTGTAGGTAACAGCTGACGGTATGGTTTGAACAAACTAGGCTGTAGAGGACATGCCTTACTTATTTTGACTACTCCAATGACTGGTTTCTTACTTGCAGCTATCAGGTGGGTATCTCTGACTTATAAATCTTTTAGAACTACATCTCAAAAGGACCATTTAACTTAGAGCATTTGAAAGTGGCAGAAATCATAAATACACAAGTTTGCAGAATAAAATAACTCAGTGAAGTTTTCAAAACCATTTAAGGCGAACATGAATAGACAAAATACAAGCAACAGTTAATGTATGTCTGATGCCAATTTTAACCTCACTAATTAGAGATAAAAATAAAATCATCCCTTTTTTAAATTTTACCTGTCATCTTGCTGGAACATTTTTTTATTTATTTGTTTGTTTAAATGGAGCATCACATAGATCTGTACCAGAATGATAGTTTATTGTGCCCAGGGTTTAGAGACAACTGCAGAGAATTTTTCTTATCAGTCTACTGTTCTCAGGATCGAATTTAACTAGAGTCATTGTCTAAGACAAGTGGTACTCCAGAAAGAACTGCTCTTTCTACCTGTGGTCTATGATGTTAGTCTGTTTCATTCCTGACCAGAGAGCTCTTTGTGTGTTCCTTTGAGATGGGTGGAGGATCTGTGATTAGGATCTGGAAAGAGCAGCTCTCCCGTGTGAGCCAATAACGAAGACCACTACACTGTTCACAAAGACTACCACCGCAGAACACATGTGAAGAACTGTCATCCTCTGGTGTTCCCATCACTGTCCATTTCTTCCTCAGCACATTTCTTCCCAAGCCACGAGCAGTAGTGCCTCCTTGTGCTCCCTGGAGTAATTTTTCTTAGCAGTCCTGGATCCAGGATTTCTAGCCATGGCTCCCGGTGTTTCACGAGTCCCTAACTTGAATCCCGCTAGTTGGACAGTCTTTGCAAAAGTTGTAGGGGCACAGTCCCTCCTAGCTGCCATAGGTTGCATTTGTGCTTTGGTGTTAGAGGGTTTTGAAGTACTGGTTCTTCTAGTGCAGAGGTTCTCAACCTGTGGGTCGAATGACTCTTTCTTTCACAGGGGATGCCTAAGACCATCAGAAAACACAGGCACTTACATTATGATTCATAACAGTAGCAAAATTACAGTTGTGAAGTAGCAAAGAAAGTAATTTTATGGTTGGGAGGTCACCACAACATGACTGCATTAAACAGACACAGGGTTAGGAAAGTTGAGAACCACTGTCCTAGTGGGACACTTCAGGCCCTACCCACGCCCAAAGGATTTTCCCTATTAACACTTCCTGGCAGTACTTATCTGATACTGAGACCTACCTGCATCTAGTACAAGTTTCAACAAAACTGTACATGTGGCTCTCAGTCCTCATTTTGCAATTTACATGATGAGCACCAAGGTGCTAGCTGTCCCTGTGTGGACCATTTAGATTTTCTTTCTGTACATACACACGGTAACACCTAACTCCCCACTTAACTCTACTTCTGCTCTGCATCCTATACATTCTAAAGGATGGTAGAGCTATTTCCAAGCCCTTGTTTCCACATAGTAGAGCGTGTCTTCTAAGTATAATTTCCATTCCCTCTTCTTCACTATCTGCTTAATTTAATGTTTGTAGTCATGATTCCCAAGGTTGTTTTTCAAATGTCAGATAACTTTATTTTCTTGTATAGTAGTCATCTGTGCAGGGGAGTTCACTAACATTTTTAATTGTGATAAAATACACACATGGAAAGTACTACCATAACAATTTCTAAGTAACACGGAGTGATGTTGAATGCATTCATGCTAACCTTGCAGCCAACCTCTCTAGAATTCTGTGTATCTTCCTACGATAGTTTCTCATCCTCCCCCCCCCCCCCAAGCAACTACTGCTCTCCTTTCTGTCTCCATGAACTTAGTTGTTCTAGGTACTGATATGAATAGATTGTGACATAAATTCCTTCTATATTAAGACTGAATAATATTTCACATTATGTGTGTGTACTTCATTCTGTCTTCTCATCCACTGGTAGATACAAGTTTTTCACCTTTTGGCTGTTGTGAATAAAGTGTCTGTGAACACTAATGTGGATATGATTTTTGGTACCCTAATATAATTTCTTGAGGTAAATGCCCAGCTATAGAATTGTTAACTCATATGGTAATTCTATTTTTTAAGAGGAATTACCATATTTTTGTTTGGTTTTGTTTGCATTCCCAGAAATTGAATCCAGACCTTTGCATATGCTAAGCAACCTATATCCCTGAGCTATACTCCAGTCCATCTCATTGTTTTTGTTTTTGTAATGGCTGCACCATTTGAGATTTCTGTCAACAGTATACAGGGCTCCAGTTCCTCCATAGACTTGTCAAAACCTGCTCCCCTTCCCTCTCTCGTTTTTAAATACACAGCTATCCCAATGCATGTGAATAATTATCTCATTATTATCTCATTGTGATTTTGTTTACAGTTCCCTGGTGCTTAGTGACAATGAAAATCTTTTCTTGTGCTCCTTGGCCATTTGTGTATCTCTGGAGAAATTTGTAGTTCTTTGCACAAATATAATTTTTGGAACTACTTTATCTATTCAGTGCTATGTCTGTTATATGTACTATTTATATCCATACAGCTTGAAAAGATGAAAGTGTTTGAGTTTTACTATCTTTTCTAAGTTTATATCTCTTTCTTTCTCATATTATCTCATTTACACATTATACCAACTTCATCTGAGGCAGTCTGTTTCCAACCCTCTAATCACACACAGCCTTTGCCTTCCTTGCCCTCTACCTGAAGAATAAAGGTCAGTCACCTTACAGGAAACATCACTTACCAATGAAGGACTAACGGAGGAAGACTGCCTATTGGAAAGAAATATTTGGAGACAATTTAACTCTTGCCCTTAGTTCATTGCCCACTTGTTGTTTGGCTTATAACAATAGTCCTTTCATTATTTCAGTCTCTTCGATGAAGATAGGGGTTTTGCCTGCCACTGACAAATTTAATACAGTGAAGAATATAAAATTACTTTAAAACAGGTGACTACAGGGTGTCTTAGGTTTCTTATTGCCATGATAAACACCATGACCGAAAGTAACTTGAGGAAAACAGGGTTGGAAGACAGGGCAAGAACTCAAGGCAGGAACTGACACCTAGACCATGGAGTAGTGCAGCTTGCTGGTTTGCCTGCTCCTGGCTTTGCTCAGCCTGCTTTCTTACCCAATCTAGGATCACCACCCACCCAGGAGTGGTACTACCCACAAAGGCTTGAGCCCTCCATATCGATCGCTAGTTAAGAAAATATTCTATAGATTTGCCAACAGATAAATCTTATGGAGTCATTTTATCAATTGAAGGTCCCTCTTTCCAAATAACTTACAACTTGTGTCAAACTGACAAAAAAAAAAAGGAAAAAAAAAGAAACAAAACCATGGGAGACAATTGATTCTAGAAATAATAGCTTTGGGAAATACCTCAAGAACCCTTTAGAAATGTGCCTGTACCCTCCTCTCCAGACCAATGTGCGTTAGCATGGGCAGAGGCATCACAGAATTTGAGGATGCACCTCTAGAAAGGTTAGATGATATCATTATTTTTTCAAAAGGGACATGTGTGCACAGATGAAGTTAGAAACTCTTAAATGTGATTCTCATGTACAAAATGGTGAGGCTGTGGCTTCTTCCTGCCTACTCTCTCATGATACTTGTCTCTTGGGGGAGGATGTTTATCCTGAACATCCGGAGAACCATTGTGTTTTGTTCAGGATCCACCTGCTTCTCTCCAGCCCAAACACAATTAACTGAGGCCGCTAAATTTCAGAGTAGGAGGCTGGTCACTGTTACTGCCTTGAATTCAATCCAAGAAACTAACCATACAGTCGAGAGACTCCAGGTAGAGACCAACCAGTTGGGGTGTTAGACTGAACAAGTCCTTGAGTTCTTTTGTTTATTTGGTACAATAAGTGCAATCTGGTTTCAATTACATAACGTGCACCCTCACCCTCATCACACAGGCACTTAGGAGTTAGGAGGTAAATGACAACCGTAAGAAGATGATCACAATTTGGATCTCTAGGTAATACATCAAAAACTATGATTATTGATAATAACAGTAATCGCTGCTGTTTTGTACCAATCAAAATCTTTATGTATTAAATATTTTTTGTACATCACTGTTGTGGTCATCATATAGCCAGTTTAGAGCTGAGAAGACTGGCACAGACTATGACTTGAAAAGATTCTAGAAATTGGAGAGCAAGGCTTAATGTCCAATTTGCCAAAGATAGGAGTGGCTTCCTGGAAGACATGGAATTTGAGTTGAATCTTGGAGGACATGGAGCAAAACAGAGAAGGCAGAGTCTTTTGCATCTTCTTTTAGCTGGATGAGGCTGGGCAGACTGTCACACAACAGACTTGCTGCCATGAGTTTCCCTGTCAGCTTTACCTGAGCACACCGAGTTACTTCTACTAACACAATCCAGATGTCTTTGTCCTCTTTTGCAAAGTTAAGTGCTTTGTTATAATTTTCTTATAGTAAATAGTCTTTGTGCCTCAGTTTCTCTATAAAATGGAAAGAGTAAAGGAATTACAGTACTCACTTTCTATAGAGAGTAGTGGGAGAGCCAAATGAGTCAATATGTGAAAAGCATCTAAGACAGAGCATTGGTCATAGTAACTGACATTGATTTTTAACTGCTACATCTTTACATATATAAACAAGAGTTTTGATCATGTGGAATTAATTCATAGCTACTCCTCTTGCCTTTTTCCTTAGCCTCACGTAGGATAAAGACAAACACACAAACACAGACACACACACACACAAACAAATTTTCTTTTTTCTTTCTTTTTAAAGATTTATTTATTTATTAGGTATACAGTACTCTGTCTGCATATACACCTGCATGCCAGAAGAGGTCACTGGCTCTTGTGAACCACCATGTGGTTGCTGGGAATTGAACTCAGGATCTCTGGAAGAACATCCAGTGCTCTTAAACCTTTGAGCCATCTCTCCAGTCCCCACACACATTTTATGAAAGTGCTTTACTAGCAGGGCTTGCTAAATGTTAGAATGGCTGAATATTGTCAAAGTGCAGCTTTTTAGCACTAGAGAATGTGGGAAGGTCCCATTTTGTTTGGCTACTTTAGATTCTGTGGGAGACCTGTTCCTCCTCCTCTATTAGGAAGCAAACATTTTAACTAAAGACTCACAAAGAGTCCAGACTCATTATGTGTGGTCTCTTATATACCTGAAAAGCATGGTACCAGGGAAGGTGCTTTGCTCAAGTGGAGAGCTTATAAGGCCAGCCATATCCTGCTGGCCTCACTCAAGTCCAGTTATTTTCCTACTGCTCTTTGAAATCCCCCAGGGCCTAAGGCCAGTCTTGACTTTGTCTGGCATAGGCACAAAGGAGGTTTTCCTGCCTAAGATCACAATAGAAGGAAAATACCCAGGCTCCCTTCCAACTATGAAGACCTCTGGACTAAACCATTGGCAGCAAACCTGCTTCCACACAGGAAGCCTTCTCTAGAAGGCTCAGGTGTGATGATAGTTACAAGCTCCAGAGTTTTCCCCTAACAGGAATGTTGTCATGTCCATGAGGCATTTCTTCCTCTGACATCTGTCATCAAAACTGGAGATAGTCTTGGTTTTCTTGGTTATCTACAAAAGGCCACTGTGGGGAGAGAGAGAGAGAGAGAGAGAGAGAGAGAGAGAGAGAGAGAGAGAGACAGAGACAGAGAGACAGACAGAGAGACAGACAGAGAGAGAGACAGAGCTAGTTAGTTAGTGGGGGAGCCCATTTTGAAGGACATAGCTGGGGCCTCCAATTACTGCTGTTCCTGAGATTCAATTGTTAAAAACTATGGGGGTTTATCTCCTGAGTTCCTGAATCCTGTAGACCAGGCAGCAACCTGAAGGAGGACCTGGGAAGTTCATTAAACTGGCTTCCATGCTTTCAATGAAAATGATATGTCATTGTGAGCAAGGCTTGCTGACATAGCTTTGGTACAGGAAGAGGGAAGCAGCATGAGTGGCCGTGTAGTCCATCCACATAGGCTTGTTCTCTACTCCTCACCTTTGTTGGCTTTTCGCTATCATTTAGAACTGTTGTAACCTTGAAGTAAAGGATTTTTCTTAGTTTTTTAATTAGTATTAAACATTCACTATTGCATTCATATCATGTTGGTGGTGATTCTGTATTCAGCATACATATATAGGCAATTATTGAATAAGAAAATATTTCCTGTTTCTTATGTCTTTCTTACTATGTTGTCGTACATAATTTACCACTGGTGTTTTAAGTTGGAATTCTAGAAAGAAGGATTTCTTGTGGAGAGCATAATAGTGTGACTTGAATCAGGATTCTTACCTGAGACTCTGGATGAGGTTCAAGTTTACGAGTAATTTCATCTCTTGCTTTTTCTTTTCTTTTTTCTTTTTATCTTTCCAGGATGAATTTAAGAAGGAAAAAGGAGAGGACCTAACCCAAATACTGTGTGAGAAGGAGGAGGCTGAGGCTGATGCTGCTGCTAGTGTCTGCTCCTTGCTTCTAGCCCAGTCTGAGGTTAGGCCCGAGTGTTTGCTGATGGTCTTGGCCAATAGCACAGGTAAGGGCCACTTTGGGGACTTGGAATTGACTAGGGCTGAACTTAAATGGGGTTCATGATTGAAGATCCTGGTTGGAACTCAGCTTCAGAAACTACAGGTGCTGGGAAGAAAGGTCTGGTTGAAAAGGATCACTGGATAAAAGAGCTTCTAGGACAAGATGGGAAAATAGTTCAAGATAAGCTGGACTAGCTTCTAGATTTAGCAACCCCTGTTTCTAATTCTAGAACTTTCCAGCAAACTCCAGCTTATGGAAAAGCACCAGTCTGACTTGAGAAAGGTATGTTCACAAGATGATGCATCTCACGGGAGCACTGGGTCAGGAGAGGAGACGGTGACCTCTCCAGGCATCACTTCTTTCCCTCCTCTGACAGTCCACATCAGGGAGTTGCACCCAGGGATGTGGAGTGGTCTGGGCTTCTCGCTAGAACTCTTTTTTTCACAAGTGACATGCTGCCATTTGTTTATCTTTTCCTTAAGCTGGGGATCCAAGGCTTCAATAAACAAGATATTGGGAGTCACCAGAGCTATTCCCGAAAGACTCTGATTGCACTGGTTACCTCGGGAGTGCTGCTGGCCATCCTGGGCACCACTGGCTATTTTCTGATGAATCGCCGCAGTTGGAGCCCCACAGGAGAAAGGCTGGTCAGTTCTGGAGTATGGGGAAAAGTAAATGAGGGAGATAATGAACTTCCGGGGAGGCCCATGGATATCATGAGAGGGAGGGAGGAAATATCATAAAAGAAATTTCTGGTATTTTTGACCTAGGGATATGCATGCATGAAGACATTGTATCTACAGAAGAGTAGGAATAAGAGGCAGCAAATGGGGAGCAGGGTAAACTGGGGCAAGCTCACCTGCTGGTCTTTGTCACAGCTGATGGTTTATGTTATCTATTCATATTGTCCTGGATAGCTCAGCTGGATAAAGGAGAACAGGTTGCTAAATTGGACATGCTTATTTGTAAACATATTGAATGCCCCGTGGGTGCTATTTTGCTCACAGGCATGGAACATATGGAAGGAATATCTTACTTTTGAAGTGTTCTGGATAGAGGGAGGGACAAGATTGAAGTCTGACTCCTGCCAATGGCTGGTATCTACTGGGGAGGCTTTTTTGTCCCTGAGACTGATTTCTTATAGGGCTGGTTACTGAGCCACGTTGACATGGTGTGGTGCCTCTCCTCTGTCCTTTCTCCTCTAGGAGCTGGAACCTTGATGGCTGTTGGGAAGAAAAGAGCCTGCACATGTAGCTGTACCTGCCCCTCTCCTCCTTCCTTTGTGCTCTCCTCATAGTACCTCACAACCCAACTTACCAGATAATACTACTTTATTTCTACACTGTCCAGGGTGAAGACCCTTATTACACGGAGAATGGTGGAGGCCAGGGCTATAGCTCAGGACCCGGGGCCTCCCCTGAGACTCAGGGAAAGGCCAGTGTGACCCGAGGGGCTCAGGAGAACGGGACCGGCCAGGCCACTTCCAGAAACGGCCATTCAGCAAGACAACATGTGGTGGCTGACACAGAACTGTGACTTGGCTGGGTGGGCAAAACTGGGTGGTATCCAGGAAAGTGGCATCTCTGCCTCTGACCTCATGCTGCCTCCAGCTCATGTCCTACCTTCTCACATCACACACATTTTAGAGACTGTTCCCAGGACATTTCACCTTTGTGGAGACAGATAAACTGCCTTCTGAACGTTCAGCTCCCTGAACCCAAACTCTGACCTTTGGGTCAAGTTGTGATGGAGAGAAGCCTAGGTCTAAAGGAGCTGCCAAGAAGATTGGTGGCTATGTAGCACTTGCCTTGGGTCTTGTCTTCCTCTTCTCTTGCCTCTTTACAGTGACTCTTGGGAAGACTAGTTTTTCTAAGCTATACCTTCCTCCCAAGAAACTTTGCTTTTTACTGTTTATTCTTTCTATTTTCTTCCCCTACTTTAGGGAAACCAAGGTATTCACTGACATCTGCACCCTTATAAGTATACAGCCAGAAACAGTACATCCCTTATAACTCTTCAAGACACTGTGGGTTTAGTCACCGACTTCTATCTTGGTCACATGTTCCCGAATATCCGTCTACAGAGGCCAGGACAACTTTCTGTCTGGTTCCTGATACTGGGCTCCATGCTTTCAAGCAACAGCTCACCTAGTCTATTGGGGCCTCACAGAAATTCCCATTGGTTCAATGTAGACAGGACAGTGGAACTAGACTTTGAACTGAGCCTCTTTTTTTTTTTTAAATTTAGTTTTGTTGTTAGGATTGATCCCAAAACTTCACACATAATAGTCAAGTGCTCTACCATTGAGCTATTCCCTCTTCTTATTTAGAGGCAAGGTTTTATGTAGGTGACCAGGCTTGCCTTGAATTATGCAGTCAGGCAGGCCTTAAACTCTTGCTTTAGGCTTCCAAGTAGCTTGAATTACAGGTCTGAATTACCAGGCTCAGTTGAGCGCTTCATAACCTCCTGGGCTCTTCAGAAGAACCCTCTTGCTGTGAGGCTCCTAACCTCCTATAACTCTAAGACTCTCCCTGCCCTCTGACTCCTGGGGGAGCTGTGGCCTCAGTCCCCTGGTAGACTCCTGTCTGTGCCTTTCCTAGCTCAACCCCCTTCAAGACTACAATCTTCCTCTCCTGGGTCTGACCCAGGACCCCTTCTCTAATTTTTCCAGGGGGGTGGGGGAAGAACAGGGATCCTGATTTCAATGAGACTGGAAACAGAACTTTCCAGAGATGAGAAGATTGGGTGAATTTTTTCTGAATAAACAGTGATGAGTGAGAATAATATAATTAAAGTGATGATAAAATCTGTGCTGTGGCCTATCATGCTGAGTGTGCTAAGTGACAGGGTGGCTTCCATTTCAGGCCTGGAGAAACTGTGTGGCAATATGGGGGAGGTCAACCAAGGAGGAGCTCTGCATAGGGAGGGACTCAGGCACCAGACAGGATGCCCAGAGCTTGTGACTTTGTGAAATGTTCCCTTCCATGTTGGGAGGCAGAGAGGCCAGAAGCTTTCTATAGTGGCGATAAGGGCAGGCTACAATGCCTTTCAGTGCCCTTCAATGCCCTGCAATGCTCCTTCAGGAGGATGAGGAATGTTGGGTATTCAAAAACACCATTCCAAGAAGAGGGACATGTGAGTGACCGCATGAAAAACATACAAAACAAAGGAAAGGATTTATGTTCTAGGCAGCCTTTGTTATCTGCTCATCCACTAACCCACCTCATGGTAAAACCAGAAAGAACTATGTGAGGTCTATTCTGGAGCTGGTTGCCAACTCCCAGATAAGGCAGCGCCATGTAAGGACTTGTCCATGCCAGATTCCAGGTGACCTGCCCCCATGCCACATGAAGTGGAAGACAGATGCAGCTAGATTTTCAGAGGCGTCTGGGAACATCTATGTGCCAACAGTGCATGGGGGTTAAAGGCTAAATAAAGGCTGACTCTTCCAGTCTTATCGTGTCAAAGCCAGGCATATCCCAACCCACTTCTTGCTGGCTTTTGTCTAACTTTGCTCATAGAGACTCCTCCCTAGGATTAAGAAAGCCGAGGGACAAGGCTAGACCTTACCCAAAAGGTGGTGTGTGTTTGGAGCATCAGAGAAAGGAAAGATGGTGACTGAACATAAAATTCTAGATAGTTGCCATTTAATAGCATGCCTTGCAATGAGTTACCAGTTAAGGGCCTGGCTTTGGTTAGTGGTGTCTGGAAAGCAGTTAAATACTGGGAATGGAATCTTTGGAAACATCAAAGGGAGAAAAGAAGCTAATGGGGCCTCAGGGACATTTCACCCTGCATTTTTGAGGATGTAGGCTTTAGGGGAAAGGTGTGTATGTTCTGGGGGTAGATGCAGTAGTGGCTATGACAGCTGGATAGCTTACTCTAAAGGCCTCATTTGCTTCCTAAAGCATTACTTTCCACTAGGTCTGAAAATCATGATGTAGCAATGGCACCACCTGCTGGCTCCGCTGGGTTCCCACTATTCAGCCTCAGAACTGGTACTTGTTTGCTAGGTTTCTCTCTGGTGTTGTCCTACCCTTCCTTAACAGTCTACTCAAATTTTTCTCATTTGTAGCACACACATAACTATAGAAAGGTAATGATGGAGAGGACTTTAAATATATATTCGGTACAACTCCCTGTGTAGAGCTAACCACACTAAGCCTTTAGGAAGATGTCCTGCTCTTAGCATACTGTTCTTCTGCAGAGGCTTCTAGGTTCCTCCAGTTAGGTGTCTCAATGCCAGTGGCATGTTTCAGAGTGAGTTTGTGACTACATTTTTTTGCATCATTTTACCATTGTGTGCCATGCCAGAACTCAAAAGCCTAGCAGACTCTGAGCCTAGAAACAAAATTTTAGGAGGCAATGAGGTTGCATACATGGACTCTTCTCCAACTTTTTATCTGAGCAGATAAATAAATGATTTGCCTTTCAAGTCTGGACAAGCATATTATCTCCTTTCTATCTTTTCTTGATAAATCAATCTTGTTTCATGGCATAAGGCCAGGGAGAGGCAAACAGTTTTGTGCAATAGGATGCTACTCGTTTCCTTATAAACCTACTCATGGCCCAATGATTTTTTTCCTATCAAAATTTAGCCATTCAACACATTTTATTGAGTATACTCTGTGTAGTGGCTGCTCTAGATACAGGATGAAGCAGACATTCATAGAACTTCTAGCTCTAGCAGAGGAGAAAGGGCAAAAATAGTTTACCTCAGCAGACATACATTCATTTTCAAGTAATATATAGAACTATAAAAATACATATGAGTTTCCCCTTCAGTATATTCCAAGACCTTTGGTGAATTTAAACCTTAGCTAGTACTGAGGCCTGCAGGCAATCATTGTAATACTTTAAGAGTTGACCTGATAACTGTGACAACTATCAAAGGACAGAACCCCATTTGAGGAGTTCCCTCCACCACACCAGCCTGTAGGTCTGTGTGGTGTTTTCTTAATTGTTGATGAATACAGGAGGGCAGTCCTGGGACGTATAAGAAAGACAGCTGAACCTGAGCCTGAGAACAAGGCAGTAAGAACCTCCTCCCCCCACCCCAAACACACAAACACAATCTGTGCTTCAGTTCTTGCCTTCAGGTTCCTGTCTTGAGCTCTTGCCCTGGCTTTTCCTTGATGTAAGCCAGGTAAGCTCCTTCATCTCCAAGTTGTTTTTGATCACATCAATAGACAAAACTAGGACCGAAATGAATTATTCTTTTCATAGCTTTTTATGGAACTTTTGTGGGCGCTTCCATTATTTTGCTAGCAATTTTAGAAGCCACTGGCAATCAAACTGATGAGATTGTTTTACCTAAGAAGTTAGTATTCAATAAGCATAATAATCCTGCCTTGTCTTCCCTGAGCACAGCTCACCAAAGATGCACACAGCACAATGTAATTCAGAGATGGAAACACATGCAGATGAAGCAGTCAGAGCAACCATTCAGTGATGGACTCTGAAACTTTAGGGTCTCAGACACAAAACCATAGGCCAGCAGTTCTAAACGCTAATTCATTTCTATGTCATTGATCTTGCTCAAGCAATTCACTTTCCTCTGAAGGTCAAGACTCTCACACAGAAGGATTTCTTGAGTTACCCTTGGTTCATGAATAGAACTGCTTGGACCTGCCTGAGCTGCTTTGTGGTCAATCCATGAGGGTCTGGAGTCAGCCTACAACTGGATTTAGCTCTGATACTATGTGACCTTGAGTGTATTATATTTCAAACACCCTTAATTCTCTGTTTCCTCATTTATGAAAAAGGAAAAAGAATATATAAAAATATGTCATGCCACAAATTAATGTCTTATGTCTTCATTATGGTGGGGCAAAATTAATCTCAAAAGTACTTTATTAGTCAAAGAAAACCCTTAATAACATTTGGTTAAAGAGCAGACAAGGGACTCGAGAGATGGCTCAGTGACTAAGAAAGCTTATTGTTCTTGTAGAGAATTTGAGTTTTACTCCTAATACCCACACTGGGTGGCTTACAACCACCTGTAACTTCAGTTAAAGGGATCTGCTCCTCTCTGCCTCTGCAGGCATCAGCATAAGACATAGTACTCATAAATTCCTACAGGGCAGACAAGAATTTTTTTCTGACCTCAGATTGAAAATAGTCTAGAGTGGTGACTTTGTTCAAAAACTAAATTTCTTTGCATAATAATCTACTGTTTTCAGGAAGATATAGGAGGAAGTAGAGAGATGGCTGAGAATCTTAGATGGAAACATGGTAGGAGCAGGGCTCAGGGTGCAGAGCAACTGGGAAAGAACATCCTGTGTTGTGATCCAGCTGCCCTCACTCCCCCTGACTGACAGTGGAACTTCCTTGTGGTCTGTAATTGACAAGGATGTTTGTGTTCTTTCTGGCCGGTGGGTCTCCACAGAAGGAGTGGAGGTATAAAAGGTTGCTGGGAAAACTAAAGGGTGTTCTTCCACCTGAAAAGAAGCCTCCATGTCTCAATCCTGCCCCCAGCCCCCCCCCCCCCACCGCCAGTCTTGGTTATCCAGGCTGCACTGGCTGCAGCAATCCTGCAGCATCAATAGAGGACTTTAGATATGGCTGCATTGGTGAACCTATAAGTATCCTGTGCTGTGTCCTGCTTTCAGTAAAAATCTTTGTATAAAATGGTCCTGTGTTCTGAAGGCTTTTTAAAGAAGAAGAGACAATAGCAGCATCTTCCACAAGTAGTTGGAAGAACTTGAATTTGGCTGGCCCAGGAATTCATCAGAAAACATGAATATGTCAGCCCTTTTCCCAGGAGTCCTTTGCAATCTTGGGAGAAGACACAGTTCTCACATAATTTTGTATGGGAGTTCAAGATTTTAAAACAAACAAAAATCAAACAAACAAAAACAAACCATGATTTAAGAAGGCAGATAAAAATCAAGTTGCATAGGATTAGATGAAAGAATGTACAAGAAGCAATTAGCTCAGAACATAGGCCTTGATTGATAAGCACTCAACTAAAGGCCTTTATTATTTTGATTTATTATTCATTTCCTCCTATTTTCATCCCTTTGAACTTCAAGATTTCATAATCTACTCATAAATTATGCTACTCACTTATTCTACTAGCATTCATCAAATTATCTCCCTATGTATTAGGTATATTTAATAGCTACTGAGAGCTTAGTATGTCCTAAGTACTGGACACAACTACTTTTATTGAATCCTCAGATGAACCTTAGGGAGAAACAAATGTATTCTCACTTGTTACATGACTCTTTTGGGGGAGAGTTGAACAAGTCTTCACCCTAGATAGGGTACCAACGACAGGCCAAAAAAGCAATTCCATTCAACTTGGTGAACCAAGGAGTCTATCTATTGGGCTTGCGTGTAAGGAGCATGAATGAAGGGTCACTTACATGGTACTCGTGGGTGACTCACAAAGGTCTCCATCACTAAAATGCCCCCATCACCCCACGGATGACAACTGGTGAGTGCTGCTTTACTGGAGTCCTATATTATTTAGTGCCTCCCCAAACCACATGAAGCTGGAGCACAATTACATGAAGCTTGGGGAGGGACAGGACTACATAACTAGAATTGAAATTGAGGGTCCATTGACCCTCCTTGCCCACCTTCTTGGAAGAAATGTTAATAGGCCTGATCTTGTTAGGGTCAGTTGTGAATGATTACAGCTGTTTTGACTTCAGTATGGCAATGGTCATGTCATGCCCAAGAGATAAGCGTTCCAAAGCAACATTTTACAAGTGGGAAAACTGAAGCACAGTGAAGTGAAGGGACTTGTATTAGATCCTCTGCACAAGCCAGTGAGGAAGCC